TTAGATTGTTAAATGACTTGTCACTGATTAGATCCATGAATTGCTACTTTTTATTCCTACTAACCTTGTACTTTTCTTCTCTATGGATTGAGGTGATGTGTGATAGTTTGTGTTAGAAACATTTCAAAAGAATTTCACTGTCAGAAAAGTATCACCATCAGTAATGAATAGTATGCATAAAATTACATCTAGTTTCATAAATTCTTTGTCCAAGCACTCAGATTCTAGAAAGGTCTTAAGGCAAGCTGATCCTAGATCATTATATATTTGGACCAGTTTTCCCTTCTCAATAGCAGTTATGGTAATTCTCTAAAAAGAGTAGAAATTCATTATAATTCCCCATTGGGAGAAAATGACAGTATTCATTTATAGAGTTATAGTCACAAGAGCAGTAAATTACATGTCTGTGTGAAGAGGTAGGGAAGATTGGGTTAGGAGCTAATTTGACCCGAATCTTATTGAGAATTTTTAATGGCAGTAAACATTATTCATTGTTTCTAGATTTTTAAAAAAATCACCTGTGTGAGGATCATATGACATTCTTAGACAGGTGCAAGGTTTCTAGAGCCCACCTTAAAAGAAAAATCTAGATAATGGTGGAGACAAAGGTTTGGGAAGAAATTCTTTTGTATGGTAAAGTTTGAGAACCACTGATCCAGATCTTTGTGACTTATAATTTCTATAACCTTTCTTTTTTTCCCCTCTTTTTCAGTGCTGGTCCTGGGGCTTGAGCTCAGGGCCTGGCACTGTTCTTGAGCTTTTATGCATAATGGTAGTGCTCTACTCTTTGAGACACAGCTCCCTTTCCTTTTGGTAGTTAACTGGAGATAAGATTCTCATGGACCTTCCTGTCTGGACGTTCCTACCTGGGCTGGCTTCAAACCACAATCCTCAGAACGCAGCCTCCTGAAGAACTAGAATTATAAGTGTGAACTATAGGTGCTTGGCATCATCAACCATTTTATACAAAACTTCACTTGACCAAAAGCAATCCAACCAGTGGGTCAAGAAAAATAACCTCATTGGTTGTAATTGGTTTGTTTCTTAACTGTGTCATTACAGTTTAAAAAATAAAACCTGGTACTTTTAGGGTTCACATTATAGTTGTTTAATTATATTAGAAGTCACCTCATTGTCCAAAAAAAATTACTCTTTACCTGACTTATGTAACTGTAACCCCTCTGTATATCAGCTTTATAATAATTTTAAAAATTTGAAAAAAGAAGAACAAGGAAAAGAAATCACTTATGCATAATTTTTAATTATAGCACTATTTCTGTCTCATGAACTGTATGACCCATAGTCACCCCTTTCAAAATTCTTATACATCCCTCCTCTACCCATCCCTTCCCTCACTCTTAATTTTGTAGGATACACACTGAATTCTTGATTGCATTCTCTCCATTTCTCCTCTTTATTTATCCTTCCCTTTCCCCTTGACCCATCCTACCCCTTTCAAGTACCCATTTCCTGGTGTTTATTTTGTTGAACCTTGACTTTGCTTTTCTAAGAGATTACAGTTAATTTTCCCTTGAATATACCATACTTTGGTTAATGTGTTTGTGTACACTTCATTCCACCCAATGTAAGTCTATAAGATAACTCTAGCTTCCACATATAGGGTAAAACATGGATCCTCTGTCTCTCTGGGTCTGACTTACTTCACTTAATGTAATTTTTAAGTCTTTCTATCTCTTTACAAAAAGTACAATATCATTTTTTCTAATGGATGAGTAAAATTCCATTGTGTACATATACCACTTTTTCTTGATTCATTCATCCATTGAGGGGCATCTGGGCTGATTCCATACCTTGGCTATGGTGAATAGTGCTGCAATAAACATGGTTGTGCTGGTGGCTTTACTATAACCAGGTCTGTAATCTTTTGAATAAATGCCCAGGAATGCAATTGCTGGATCATAGAGTGTACCACAACATACACTGGCCTGAAGAAGGTGCTGTTTCCCAGGAAAAGGACTTAAATCCACCCCCCCCCCCCCACTCCGTTCCCTTCCACCCCCAAGAAGTGCATTGAGCCATAGTTGAGAGAAACAGCATTGTGAACCAAGCAACTCACTCTGCATTCTCTGACTCTAGTTACATTCTTTGAGATTTGATTCAGGATAAATTTCAACATCTTTTTTTAAAGGTCAGATATGAATGAGAAGACTTTGTTTGACTTATAAATCTTGTGATAAACAGTTTTTACCCAGTGTAGCTTCCTGCCTTTTGTGATTAGTTTTTGAGAGAGAGAGAGTTTTCTCTTATAGCAGACTGTAGTGAAAGCTCTAAAAATAAACAGTATGGATGCTTATTGGAGGCAACATATGGGAGCTAATGGGAACAGGAATCAACATATGGAGACAATCTTGACAGCTACTCTGCTCATGGAAACACTGATACTGGGCCTCTGGCTTCCATGCCACATTGTCCATGCAGAGCATATATCTCAATTAAAGAACATTCCAGCCAGTGCCAGTGGCTCAGGCCTATAGTCCTATCTATTTAACAGGCTGAGATGTGAGGATCTCAGTTCAAAACCAACCTGGGAGGGGAAGTCTATGAGACTCATCTCCAATTAACTGCCAAAAAAGCCAGATGTATAGATGTAAAAGCTAAGGGACAATGGGTTGGGCGTGTTTAAATCTTGATACACCTTGTAGGGGCTGGAGGATCACTTGAGACATTTCTGTGCAGATTTTATGTAAGCCACTGTTGGTAAAGGTGTTGGAAATGAATTTTTAGGAAATGATGCATCAGAATGAATAAATAACCTCTACCACCATTAGGCGAACCTGGTTCCTGAAACCAGACTATGTGAAAAGAGCCCACTCCCCTGAGACCCTTCTGAGACATCATTCAGAGTGACAAATGGCTTGTTATGAATTCACATCAGAGGAGGGGCTGGAGAGCTACTGTTTGTGACTTTCTTCTTCTTCTTCTTTTTTTTTAAATGTGAATGCTACCACTTTCTGTAACTACAGCAACTTTGAGAATTGTACCTTACTGGAAATCACCAGCCGGTATTTGATTGTGTCCTTCCTCCTGCCCTTAAGCCTGTCTTTGGCTTTGTCCAGGTTGGGGGGTGGGGCAGCTGGCTCAGACTTTCTAAGTTTGTTCCTTCAATAGATGGGTGCTCCAGGTTTCTGCCCCGTGGGGGGGCGGGGGGAGGAAAAAGGATGTTTCAGCCACAAACCAATTCATTCTGCTGTTTCAATGTCAAAATTAAAGGAAACTTATATTTAAAAAAAAATGCTAAGGGACAGAGCACCTAGGCTCTGAGTTCAAGCCCCAGTATTGGTACAAAAATAATTCTGTCTAGAAAGTGTATAATGTTCTTTCTAGAAGGTATAATCCACACATGTGTGGGACTATATTACTGGGATTTTGTTAGTAGGTTGAATGTTGAAGATGGTAAGTTACAGGATATGGGGAAAGCTGTTATCCATTTTTAAAATTGAATGGTAATAGGCAAAAGTCTGGCAAAAAAATTTGGAAGCCGGGCGCTGATAGCTCATGGTTGTAATCTTACTACTCAGGAGGCTGAGATCTGAGGATCGAGGTTCAAAGCCAGCCTGGGCAGGAAAGTCCACGAAACTCTTATCTCCAATACACCATTAGAAAACCAGAAGTGTCGCTGTGGCTCAAGTGGTAGAGTGCTAGCCTTGAGCTGAAAAGCTGAGGGACAGCGCCCAGGCCAAGAGTTCAAGCCTTATGGCTGACCCCCTCCCCCCCCCAAAAAAATTGAGAAGGTTTATTCAGGTCTGAATGGTGGCAATGTTACTTCTGGGTAAAATAGAACTTGTGCTAGATTCAAAATGTATGCAAGGAGCTAGGAAAGAATTGTATCATGCCGGGCTCGGGATGTAGTCAGTGCTCATTTTTATCACCACTGTCAGATAAGAAATATGATTGTATTCATCTACCACCTTTTAAATATAACACTTTAGTTTGATTATGGATAAACTGTGTTTCATCTTGTAGATACAGAGGTTTGAGTAAATTCAGATTCCCAAATTCAAGGAAGATCAGTGATTTAATGTCCACATGTATGATAATCCTTCCGAAGATACTAAGGCCTTTAAATATTCAGAAATCCCTTAGACTATTTATTTATGTATTTACTAACTTACTTAATTTGTGCTGGTACTGGGGCTTTAATTCAAGTTCAAGGCCCTCAAGTATTCATTTGGCTTTTTTTGCTTAAGGCTGGTGCTCTACCATTTGTGTCATTTCTCTATTTCTGGCTTTTTGCTGGTTAAGTAAAGATGAGTCTCAGACTTTTTTTGCAATTCTCAGATCTCAGCCTCCTGAGTAACTGAATGCCTGACCCAGGTTATATTTTTGTAGTATGTTTTCTTCTCTGAGAGTAAGGTAAGCAATGTCAAAATTGCTTGCTGTTACTTTAAAGAAAATGAAATCCAAGATTTCTGGATAGTCTTACTCTTGGGCAGAAGATAAATTAAATGAATGGATTTTAAAGAGCTCTAGCTCTTGAAACTGTAGCAAAGCAGCTCCAAACCAATACAGTTTGTGTTTTTGACTCATTCAAGAGAGAGTTTTCATAATGCAGTTTACAAACGCTGACAGGTGGTTTCAAGAACTGAAATCCAGGCCAGCCAAATGAGAACTCAGTATTTTTTTTTCCTTAACCAGTAGGCTGTCTTGTCAAAGGATTCCAATTCATCTTTAGTACATTCTAAGATATTTATTTCCCCATTTGAGGATGTAAGTTGTACACTATGACTTTAGTGACAGAGCATGTGGAAGGAGAAACTGAATTTGGGAGTCTGACTGCCAGGAGATGTGGGCTCAGCCCCCTCCATGGATTCTGAGTGTTGAGCCTCCTGATTTGGATAGCAGGGATTTTATATTCCGGGGGAGGGGGTGGATGATAAGGACATTCATGAGTCTCTCTTCAACTTTGAATCTTTGTATAGTTCTGTGCCAGGCCTCTCTTCAGTAAAATAGCTAATGACTGTGCTTTTTAAAACTCCTAGCTGTCTGCCCAGTTGTTACAACACCTTCTGGCTCTGTGGGCAGCTTGTGCACCAGACAGTCCCAGGTGCTCTGTGGGTACCTTGGTGAGTACACTCATCCACTTTATTCCTCCTTTGACATGGTGCTATCAAGTCCTTCTTTATTATCTGTCTTCAGGGGAGAATTCATCAAAGGCAAGATAGGATTTGGCAATGCAGCCTGGTAGCTCAGCCATCATGATTGTTCTAGAAATGTTCAGATTGGAGTTTCATGAGGAAAAAAAAAAATTGCTGAGTAGTTTGGAAGTTAATACTATGACTTGATAGCATAATGATTTGTGGGTATAAGATAGGTGCTCTATAGTCACAGAGATTTTTTTTTAAGTTTTATTTTATTTGAGAACATACTGTACAGAGGGGTTACAATTACATGGGCAGGATAATGCATACATTTCTTACCAAGCATTGCAGCCTCCTCCTTTGTTTACCCTTCATCTCCCTTCCCAGCCTCCCCCCTCCCCCCAACCGAATCATACCCCCCCCCCCACACCGACATTGTAAAGCTGGTTTTGACATGACATCTTGTACTTCTCATTGTTGCAACAGGTCCACCTGAATCCTTAAACGACTTGTTTGTCCCCATCCCCTCCACATGTTATACTGACATCAAATATAGTGAAAGCGGGGGTTACACTGTGGGGGAGGGACATACAAAGCAACAAAGAAATAATCTTATAAATGCGTTAGAAACACATGCATGAAAGAAACAAAAACATTAAAATACATATTTAAGGGTTCGTTTTCCTAACATCACATTATCTGACCTTTTCCGCTTGACTCATACATATACTAGATATTGCAAATAAGGGAAACCATGGGACCTATGTTTCTTTGGGCCTGGCTTACTTCACTGAATATAATTTTTTCCAAGCCTTTCCATTTCCTAACAAATGGGGAAATGTCATTCTTTCTGATGGAGGCATAGAATTCCATTGTGTATATATACCACATTTTCTTGATCCATTCATCTACTGAGGGGCATCTGGGTTGGTTCCATATCTTAGCTATGGTAAATAATGCTGCATTAAACATTGTTGTGATGGTAGCTTTAGTGTGGTCTTGTTTGTAAACATTTGGGTAGATGCCCAAAAGTGGGATTGCTGGGTCAGTCACAGAGATTTTTAAATGGTGAACTTCTGGCCACCATGGCAGATAACTCTTTGGAAGGTTCAACAGTATGACTTGAATATAAAAGGAAGGTCCCTTTTTTATATCTTCTTTGTATCTGTGTGACTGTTCCAGATACAAAGTAGTTGCTTAATTAATGTTTTATCCTTGTATAGATACTTATTGATTGATTGATTGATTATATCTTTAAGTGGTTATACAAAGGGGTTTCAAATTCCACATGTCAGTTTACGAGTTCAATCCATCTTGATCAATATCATCCCTTTCATCATTCTACCCCGTTTCTTCCAACTCCACTCAGCACCTCCATTTTCCAAGTTCCATTAATGTTTCTTGTACTGAACCAAAGTTTAAAAAAAGTTAAAAAAGATTTCTCTCTCTTTTCAGTTCCAAAGGGAGGTCTGTGAGCAAGTCCTGGTGAAGCCATTATTTGTGAGCTTCATATAACTGTATTCTGTATTACATGATAAAATGCATTGTCAGGTTAGACCTTCAGCCCAGTTAGCTAACTGGGCCTGGGAGCTTGCCATTTGCTCAAACCACCTTCCCCTGACCTCCCAAACCTAGTACAAGCTCCTCAAAGACAAGACTATGTATTAGACTGTGGAGCACTGAAGACAGAGGTTTCTTCTGCTTTCTGCTTTGGACCATAAATCAATTCCACCAGCATATATAGGATGCCTATTGAATGCTGGGCAATGGATCCACAGCACAGAATAGGACTTGAGTGATCCTAGCACTTAAGGAAATCGGCAGCTAAATTGTTCCCAAATCATATTCAAGAAGAAAAGAAACACACATAATCCTAGTATTGGCATGGATTTTGAGGTCCCTGATGAGGCGTGGCTATTCACTAGATAGGGACAAAGGAGATAGTTTTACTGTCCCAGGAGAAGCCTGCTTCACTGGATACACTTATTCTGTAACTCTTCATGCCCAACTCTGCTTCTTAGGAATCAGTTCAGTTTTTTTTGACAGTGGCCGAAAATGGAGTCTCTTCCACAAAAGACTTAAAAAAATCAACCTACCAGAATCAATTGATAGCATGCATTAATTTTAGTACAGAAGCCCTCAAAGTGGCTAGACACTGATATATAAATGAAAAGAAGGAAAGATTCAATCCATGCTTGTAAAGCTCTGCGTAGGTTTTTAAGCTCTGAATTTTTATTTTATTTCATGCCCTAAACCAAGGGTTCAACATCTGTTTACTCATGGACTGATTGGAAAGGAAAAGGGAAGGGAAAAGACAGAAGCGAAAGGTTTGTCCCTGGCACCTATGACAATTATCCTGCTCCTGCACACATCGGTTGGTCAGGAAATGACCATCCCACCAGGCACCAGAGCAAGAGGCTGAGATCTGAGAATCAAAGTTTAAAGCTTAATTCTACCCGAGGGGGAAAGGGAGAAAGTCTGTGAGACTCAAACAGCTCCAGAAGTAGAGCTTTTGCTCAAGTGGTATAACACCAGTTTTGTGTGAAAAAGTGAAGAAACAGCATCTGGGCCCTGAGTTCAATACACACACACACACACACACATACACGCGCGCACGAATTAATTAAAAAGCAAAACTTAATGACTGTCTCCATTTTCTTCAGGAAGTTGTGGTGGTTTAGAAAGGTAAATGTCTTGTTCTTGTCATAGAGTTGACCCACGATGATGAGCTCAACACCTGAATTCAGGTGTCACCCAAATGTTTTCCATCCTGTCATGTAGACCCCAAACTTGCTTACCCTTGCATTGCTTTCCAGCCCTTTCCCCTCACTCCCCCTTTTTCTTTGGTTGGTTGTGGGGCTCGGGCTCTGGGCCTGGGCACTGTCCCTCAGCTCTTCAGCTCAAGGTGAGCGCTCTACCACTTGAGCCACATTGACACTTCTGGTTGGAGATAAGAGTCTCACAGACTTTCCTGCCTGGGCTGGCTTTGAACCGCGATCCTGAGATCTCAGCCTCCTGAGTAGCTAGGATTATAGGCAGGAGCCACCGGCGCCTGGCCCCTTTTCCCTTTTAACTTCCATGCCTATAATTTGGACCAAGTTTCTTCTTATCCTTCCCTTCCTCCCGTAGTAATGTTAAGAGGCCTTTCCTCTTTTTTCTTCTCAGACACTCCCTTTTGCTTAGGGTTGTTTCCCATCACTTAATTTCTGCAAGCTTTCCTTTTCCTTTGGCAGATAAACACTGGAAACCCAGAAACCCATCCCACTCTTCTGCCTGTCTGAGAAAGTCAGGAGCATCTTGGAGAGTGTGGATGGAACTGAGGCACAGGCTCCATGTGAGATCCCTGCACTTGAGGGCTTTTCCATCCCTCCTTCAGCTGATAGGACTGTGGGAAAAGTCTGCAGACCCCTCTCTGACCTTCCATGCAAGACAAGACGACTGAGCAGTGGGGCTCTGTGGGTTTTTTTTTTTTTTTTTTTTTTGGTCTCTGTTCTTAGAAATAGTAATTGCATAAAAATGTAAGTGAGCAAATGCCAGGGGGCCAGAGTCCAGGGCCAGGGTAAATTTCTCCATGCTGAACACGATTCTGAACACTTGTTAAGTGGAGTCACTCAGTCCAGGCAGCTCGACGGCCATCCATGTCACCTTGTGTGAACTATTTTCCATTCCAAGGGGGTACAGGCAGTGGCTGGAGGCAGGTTGGGGCCTGTGGTGCCTCGTGCATCTCTCATTCATTCTCTAACCTGAGTGATGGTGACAATGGTGTGTGTTCTGACACAGATGAAGGGACCAGGACTCGGATGCTCCAACAGCTTTAAATAAAATAACCTGGGAAATGAAAGTAGTCATTCCTTACAGACATGTGGTTGCAGATTTTTTTTTCTTTTCCTTTTAAGTTAATGATCACATAAAATTAACAATAGCATCATCAACAATAGTAATGGTAAATGAGGTTAACCTGCCTGCTACACAATTCCGAAATCCTGAAGGGTGGATGACTAGAGTTCTGTTCCAAGTGACAGAGCAATTGCCTAGCAAGTGCAGTGCCCTGGGTTCAATCCCCAGTAAGACCAAGAAAAATAAAAAGTGTAGGAAGGAAGGAAGGGAGAAGAATTCAAAGCAAGAGAGGCAACTTGTACGAATGAATAGATTAATAGTCCCAAGGACAAATCCAGTGTTTAAAGTATTTGCCAAGCAAAAGACATTATTATTATTATTAATTAATTAATTTTTTTTTGTCAGTCATGGGGCTTGAACTCTGAGTCTGGGAGCTGTCCCTCAGCTCTTCAGCTTAAGGCTAGTGCTCTGCCATTTGAGCCACAGCGCCACTTCTGGTTTTCTGAGTGGTTTATTGGAGATAAGTGTCTCATGGACTTTCCTGCCCTGGCTGGCTTTGAACCATGATCCTCAGATCTCAGCCTCCTGAGTAGCTAGGATTATAGGGATGAGCCACTAGTGCCCAGCCTGCAAAAGGTTTTTAAGTAGGCCAATTGCAATTTAAAGATGGCATTTCAAGCATGACCTATATTTGCATCCCCTGGACATCTTTAAAGGAGATTTCCAGGCCCTGTTTTCAGCCTGCTAAGTGGGCAGGCAGGATGGGGAAGCTGGGGAGTTGACATTATCTCAATAGACCTTGCTGATGCTCTTGACCTCAGCCTGGTGTGCAGCTGTTGGTAGCAGCAGCTGCTTTGATTACCCAGATCTGTTGATTCACAGATGGTCCATTCAGGGAGACCGAGGAGATTCCAATCCAGCGGGACCTCTGTTGGATCAGCTGATGCTGCTGCAAGCACAGGATCCTGAATCCACAGCCCTGCTGATTTTTTCCCTGTGTATCTCATTTTTCTGTATATACCAACATGGTGTGGACCTGTTACTCAGTGTCACACAAATTCCCTACTCACTTTCCACCACTGAGGAGTGCTATGGAGTGTTCAAGGAATTAAAATAGTGATGAGGAGCATGTGTTAGGTGCCCATCTT